GTCATCTACAGTATTTTGTACACAGAACCAGTCCTTATTTAAAAATTCGCCTAGGTTAGTCTATCTGATTTGGCTCAAGAGCGATAAACGCCTAATCTGATGTGATTTTATGTGCTTTCGCTTTTCTAGCCTGGGGACCTGACGATAACCATGAATGCGGGCAGCAAAAATCGGAATTTCAAGGTGCATGTTGAGGGCGGCAAATTCCACATCGGACAAAAGGTCTTCCCCAGCATCGACTCTCTGATTGAACACTACCGTACACACCCAATCTACAAAAGTGATCAGGAGAAACATTTCCTCACCCAACCTTTCCAACATCCCAACTGTGGCCTCTACCTCCGTCAATTGCCTGGCGACTTTGGCAGACCGCCGGTTGCGACTTCTACTGCGCCAGCAGCCCAGTCAGTATTCCAGTGATTATTTTCGTCTCCATCCAGGCAACGTTTGGCAACCCCGTCTACTTGATCTAACTTGCGCAGTAATTACCAGAATTGCGCTTGCGCTTGGTGGATACCACCAATGCCCACTATTTTAGGGATACTTTTTCCGTCCTCTCAGTTGTTCGTGCCCACATCTGCGCGCGAGCCATCCTTACCTTCTATCACCTCCCAGCTTTTACTTTCAGTATAAATTTGCAGTTTTTCCCCGACTGCTGTCTCTAGCTGTCTCTCGAACCAGCATTTCGGCAAAAGCAATCTATCTCTCCCCCTCCTCATCTATCCTGTCAAACCAAGCAACGCACGTCGCTTCACCTTCTGGTATAGGTCTTTTTGGAACTGCGCGCCCTCGCCGACTTCGCGTGTTCGACTCAATCGCCACCCCCGCATGTAGTTGGATTGAGCTGGATTTCATCCTTGGACCCCGCATCCTCCGCGCTACCAACTCAGACCTTGCTACATGTAAAAACCACCTGCTTATGCACTCTCTCCCCCACTCATGTTTCCTGAGAGCTAACTAGTTTTTGATTCTTGTTGACCCTTGACCACCTTTTGGTTCAGCCGCCCGCAGCTCAGACACATTCTGCCTTTGGCGACTGATGCCCCCCCTTCCCCCAACCGCCATCTCCCCCCACTCCAGTACTGTCATTTAATAAGCACACTCTTGGTTCCTACCTTCACCGCATGTCTGCCAGTTACTGACCGATCTCCAAGTAACTTTTTAAGATCTTTTATCGTGAGCGTAACTCCACTCGCCCTCCCTCCCCCAACCAGGTATTTTCTTCCCCCACCCCTCCTCTGTATTAATTGCGGTCGGTTCGGCATTACCCTCGTTCGCTTGCTTTTTTTGTAATTTGGGGTCAATGTAAACAACAATTCGATTGACGCATTCTGCTGCCCTTGCAGATACTTGGTGCGTTTTACATACGTGTGGAGGAGGTGGGAGGTTGTTGCATCTCTGTAGGTGAGCAGTCATTTCCCAGCTGCGTGTTTATGCTGGCGTACGGGCCTTCAGGCGTTTTAGCCGATTTGATGAGTACGTTTGAAACCTGCACAACCCACTGCTTGCCATTTTATGAGTAGCATGGCCCTATTTTCATTTCTCTTCAGGCTACTAAATGGTATTACACACTTATCAAATGAGGTAAGTCTTCAGTGGGGGAAAAGTAGGCTCTCTTGCTTCAGCTGATAAATATACTGAGAAGTTTGACTGGAAAGAGGGTTAGAATGGAAACATACCGAGAATAAGTAGCAGAAACGGGAAAAAATCGTTGGACTTATACGGCTAAATATATTGGTTTGAGAGGGCCTACACGATTTTATCTTTGGCTGTCCTCTCTGCCGTTATATGACGGTCGCATTCATTAACATCTTGTGAGGTAGTCGATTTGGACCATAAGCAGTGCTGCCGAGATCGTCGCCTGACGTCTACTAGGACTGAATCTGGCAGATAGGCTGAAAGAGATGCCATGCAACATAATTTTGCATAACAGTGTAGTTGGTCGTTTGTAAACCTATTGGATGACCTCT